TAGCGCTGGGAGGTTGCCCGGGGAGCCCAGCTGAGTTTCAAGATATAAGAGCGACTTCAGGTTGCCGGGTTTCCAGCCCGGACGTCTCACAGAGCGCGAGCCGGGCAGCTGCCGGCGCCGCCGCGACCGCGGTGTCCCTTCCCTCCGCTCCGGCCCTCCCTCCGCCTCCCGCCCCCTCGCTCCCTCCCCCGGCGCTCCCAGCCTCCTCGCCCCGGGAGCTCCGCGCCCGCGGTCCGGGATTATGGAGTTTCTGAGCGAGAAGTTTGCCCTCAAGAGCCCTCCGAGTAAAAACAGTGACTTCTACATGGGCGCGGGAGGAGCGCTGGAGCACGTTATGGAGACGCTGGACAATGAGTCCTTTTACAGCAAAGCGTCGGCCGGCAAATGCGCGCAGGCCTTCGGGCCCCCGCCCCGCGCCGAACATCACGTGCGCTTGGAGAGGACCTCGCCCTGTCAGGACAACGGCGGTGAGTCCCGGCGACCCGGCCGCAGCCCAGGCTGTCCCGCCGCAGAGCCGGAGTGCGGAGGACGGGCGGGGAGGGGGGGGAGGGGGAAGGGAGGCCGGGGGGACAGAGGAAGGCCGTGGATCCGCGCGCGCCTTGGGAAGCGCGGCCAGCGCCGCGGCAGCCCTTTGGGGGATAAAAAGAGGGTCTGCCGCCTGCTGCCTCCCGGAGATCCCCCTTCCGCGGTCGGGTCCTGTCCCCGCGAGTCCCGGAGTCCCTCTGTCCCGGACCCTTGGAGTGAACAGACACGGCGCTAAATAGGGCGTCGGGGAGTCAAGACAGGGCGCTTCCTCTGCGAGCCCGCCGCGCTGTCCCGGCGGGAGGAACTGAAATCGATCACAGCTCGTTAGAGGACGTCACTGTTGTCACCAGTAAAGCACACACACCACACACCTTGGGGGTCCTTTGGGGGGGGAACACTCTTTTCCCCCAAGAAGTGAAGATATTTTTCACTATAAAGTGGGGGGATTATTTAGCTTCTGTGACTTGGTGATTTCTGCTGCGGCTGCTTTTGTGTGTGCTTGGAAGATAACGCGCGTTGGATTTTTGTTAAACACCAAATCCCTTTAATTAACTTTGGGCAAAGAATCCCCGTTATAATCACTCACTCCCAGATCCTGTCTTGTCTATTTTTTATGACTTCACATTAAGAGTCACCAAAGAAGCCTTCGGAATGCTTCTGGGTGAAATCTTGAACTGTGAATGCTCAACTATCTCAAAGTCAAAATGTTATCAAAACAAACCATCTATCTTTTCTATCTTGTAACCCAATACAAACCTATTCTTTCAGATCGCAACAGCCAAAGCACGTTTACAATTCCAAGAGAACTTTTCCTTATCGTTGTATATATTCCGCAGTTAAGCCATAAGGAGCCGGTTGCTTTAAAATAACAAACGAATTAAGTGTGAAATATTTGCAACAAACTTCCTGCCCCCTATTTTAATGGAGATTCAAAATCCCGCAAGACGCTGGCTTGTAGAAGCTCATTTTCTGAAAACTTTGTACACAAGTCTTTTTTTTTTTTTTTTTTTTAAAGCTTATATTAAACTTATTTTAGTCAACATTGCGGGCTACTTTTTACTTGTAAGTTTAAATCCCAAATTAAAATAATACATAAATACTGATAGAGGACATAATCCGTTAAATCTATTAACAAAAACTGATAGAGAAAATAATCGGTTAAATCGTTTCAGCCATTTATCTAGAAAGACGCGAGCAATTAATTTTTATTACTCATATCCTACATTTTTGGTTTTCTGGCTGTATTTCAGACTTCGGTATCTTGACAGGATTTTCTTATTGATTCTGCAATGTCTTATGTAGACGGCTGGATGGACTCGATCGTCATATTTTGTTTTAAGTAGTCGCGAATCCTAAATAAGAAACGTAGGTCGATTTTTAACAGTTTATCATCTTTTAAACGAATACCACACTATTAAGGTAAATTGTGACAAAGAAGTATTAAGTCAGATGAACCCAGGCAGCCTCCACTTAATTTAGGAGGGATCCTGGCTTTCTCCTGAGATGCTCTTAGGCTCTCCTCGCTTCCCCTCCCCCATCCTAATTGCCGCAGTTCCTCCTTTAACTTTGCCCAGAGAGACAAAACCATAGTGTTATTCAGTCACGGCTCTTCTTTATATTCAGTTTAACATCACATCTTCCTTTGCGTGAAAACTTTTAGCTATTGACCAATTATAGATGTGTATATTTAGGGTGTGCAAAATAATGTTAGAGATTTTGAATACAATGTAGAAGGATTGAATCAAGCTCCTTAACTTAGACCTCAAATATTTGATAATTTTTGTGCATCACCTCAAATATCTGACATTTTTTGTGATGAGAATATTTGAGATTTACTCTTTTAGTAACACAAATGCACAGTGCTCAATTATTAGCTATTTAAGTTATGTAGGCACTAAAAGTTGAATACATTTGTATAACAATTAAAGCAATTGTAAAATATGTTATGAGGAATGATGTTAAAACAGGAACAAATGAAAAAAGTACGATCATTCGTTAGACATTTTACTGAATTTTAAAAACTGTCTCCCATTTCATTATGTGCATCCATTTTATTTGTGTGTATGTGACATTATATGATACATTTTTGTTTTATATTATATGGCAAGCATGCAGTAAAATCTGAAGGAAATTATTGAATTCAAACATTTGTAACAGAGTGTCAGATGTCATCCTTCATAATGTTTTAATGGATGTTTTAATTTCTGTGCTTTAGTAGAAGGAAAAATAAAGCTTTCTGTCCTAAAACAAGTTTCATGAGTTTAAAAAAAAAAAAAGTGAAATACTTTTTCAAAAGCTGCCTATGAGTTTTAAAGGTAAAAAAATCTACTTATATTATTTTCTACAAAAGCACATTCAGAAATTGACATACAGTTATTGTTTTCTCAATTTAGGGGGTTACTTTTTGAAAAAAATTTAAATGCAGACATGAATATACAGTCAAAATATTCAAAATATAGTGGAAAAGATTCCACAATTTAAACCTCTCGTCAATAGGTTTTGTGTGAAGGGTCACAATAATTTTTGGATATTGACATACCGGTACTATTTAAAATTGAACTATCCTTTCCAAGCCATGTAAGTAGCTTAATTTTTTTCTGCTGTGAATAAGTGTGTAATTTATTTTAAGTTTACTTTTCAGAAATAATAAACACTTAAAGACTTTTTAAAAACTTTTGAGCATCTTTTAATTTGACTATTTTAATTTGATTAGAAATTATGTGTATAAAAATTTTATTAATTCCATAAAATACATTTGTTCCATGTACACCTTTTAAAATGGTTTTTAAACCTGTTCCACAGTAAATTTATAATTGTAAATAATGTGGTAATGGAATTAATACTGGCACAATAAATCAGTCACGGGCCATTCTCCTGATGCCCTCAATTCCTTCTGCTCATTTCGTTCGAGATGTGCTTCACAATCCTAAGAACTGTCGTTTTCTTCCCTCGGCCTACAGTGAACTATGGGATCACAAAAGTAGAAGGACAGCCTCTTCACACTGAACTGAACAGAGCCATGGATAACTGTAACAGTCTCCGAATGTCTCCTGTGAAAGGGATACAAGAGAAGGGAGAACTGGATGAACTTGGGGATAAATGTGACAGCAATGTGTCCAGCAGTAAGAAGCGGAGACACCGAACCACCTTCACCAGTTTGCAGCTAGAAGAACTGGAGAAGGTCTTCCAAAAAACTCATTACCCGGATGTATATGTCAGAGAACAGCTTGCTCTGAGGACAGAGCTCACTGAGGCCAGGGTCCAGGTAGGAGCCAAATGGAGGCCGTGAGGGATGGGGGTAGGAAGAGGAATAGTGTTAGAAGAACTGAATAAATGCATGTTGTTACAAAGAATCAAATGGATTTACAAACAGAAGATATAGAACAACATAATATCCATCCATGTAGGTCTACTAAAATTCCTTTGTTAGTTGCAAAGGATTTGGCAACTTATACAAAACATAAAACAAAGAACACTTGAATTATTACTAGACATAAAAGTTAACATTGAAAAATAACAGTATGATAACATCGCACTAATTTTAAAAAGCAATTTTTAAATGGTAAAAAACAGAATCATGGTTATGCATGGAGTAATTGACGTATTTAATTTTGTGTCCCTGTCTCACCAACCATTGAGATTCTCTTTAGGTTATATATTCTTTGTATAATGGATTTTATTAGAGTTGGGACAAAGTAAAAGATAAACAATGAAACAATCCTACAATTACCAATAGTTATGTATGTCATACAATATTTTCACTATACTTAATTAAAGAAAAATCAAATCGCTGATTTACAAATTTCTAGCCCCAGTAGTTGTCAGTAAAGAGAAACAATGTGATTTTTGCAGAGGCAATAGGAATGATGGACTTAAAGAAATTTTGTGTATATACTTAACTATAGTTATAAAATACATTAAAATTATCAAATTGCATGATTCAATATACCTAAATTTTTAGTAATTCGAGATAGAAAAATCATACTAGGCAAAAATTCAAAAATTTACCTCTTAGGAGTATTTTATTTTGACTACATTTGATATTGTTAAACTATATTTTATTAGTTCTGAAGTAATAAGAGTTTAAGTTGTAACAGTAATTCAGGAGAAAGAAAAATGTCATTTTTCTTTGTGCGTGTTTTCAATACTCTAGGAATATATTGAACTTTGCAATTTCCATAAGCCACTAGAATGGGGAAATGAATAAAATAGTGAAAAATTTTGCTCTGAATGGGTAACAGTATTTCTTCTTAAGATTAAGCCATTGTAAGGTCTTTACATCATTAAAGACAACATCTGGCATTGCCAGGATAACAAGCAGCAGATTTTTACTTGGGTTGTAGAAGTAAATGGTTACTCTATTTTAGCTCAGGAAGTAAATATGTAGAAAGTTGATGCTAACGAAGAATTTTAGAGTTGTCAAACATTAACGCCAGTCCCACATGTGTGATTTTTTGGTCTGTGTCTCTGTATTTAAATTAGTTATACTTGTAACCATAGAAAAATATGTTTACATGCAGAGTGATTAGCTGTGCACAAAGTACATTTCCCCCTGAACATTTCATCAAGTTCTGGTTAATTTTTGTTTAAGCAAATGCTCAAAGAGCCAACCTGAGCCTAATTTACTCAGATCCTCTCTCCTGCTTTTCACATGAGAGTGGTAATGGGCACCATTTTAATGAGCTTGTCAAGATATTTTTGTCAATGGAAAAAACAAAAGAAAACAGAAAACTTACTACTAGATTCCCTTAGTATATTCCTAGTGCCTGTCTGTGGAGACAATAGGATTTGTTGTTTGGTTGTTGTTGTCTTGAGCCTTGGCATAATGGATAATATACATTTACCCACAGTGTGCTAAACTTGTAACGGACATGTAGTTTTCTTTGTCTTGTTTTAATTGCTGAAAACTCTTCAAAGTGCCATCTGAAATTTGTAATATGTACTTAAACATTAAACTGAGCATTAATATGCTACCATAATTGTACAGGTAAAAATATGGAATATTAAAATTGAGTATGAAAAAGAGTGAATATTTCAAGTGAATTTTAATGAAAGACTTTTTACAACTTGCATTGTTATATTTGATTTCTAACTTCTTTCCTAAATATTTTATATTCTGAATGTAGTTGTGCAAAGAATACTAAAGAAAGTCCCAAGGCTGCTCATACAATGCTCACTCAAAAATATCAAAGTATACCTATTCACCCCCAAATACCAATGTATACCTACTGAATATAAGTTTTTGTCTCTCCCTTTAATGCATAAAAATATTAAAGTGAACTTTTTGGAGCACTGAGCGTGAATTAATAAATATTTAATTGTCTGAGGTAGATGACTTTCTTGACACTTGGTTCTATCTGCCTTATTTCTTTTATTATTTATATTGCCTGTAAGTGTTCCTAGTTGGAGAAATAATTTTAAAAATATCTGAACATTAAGAGAAAATAAAAAAGTGGCATAAATGATGTAATAAGCACCTTTGTGTACTTTAAAATCAAAGTTCAACGTTAGATGATTCAATTTTACCCATAGTCCTTGTCATGTTTAATATAATTTAATTTTTTTCTGTTTCTAAATGATCATAATATTCTTGCTGCTGCCATATGTTTTAGATGTAATCTTTATGTTCAAAGTTTTGTAAGATTATCTAAGTATGAATGCAACTCAGAAGTGTCTCCACTTTAAGACATGTTTTAAAGATAAATTTTTACTAGACTCAGATATTTGGATATAGATTGGCGGGGTTTATGTTATGGCATAAATTCCTTCCAGACTTGTAGTATTCTCTTAGAGGAGGGCTATCCATGATAACATGGAGATATAAGGAGTCTTTAAGATCACATAATCTAATTTCTTTTTATTTTCCATAAATGAGAAAACAGAGGCTCAGGCATATCAAATAAATTTGCTGAAAGTCTCCTGTCTCTTTCTATTAAATTATATTGCCTCATGGGCCCATCATTTATCCTATAATGGTACAAGGAAAAGTAAAATCTGTAGGTCCTTTAGGGACATGGATAAATTCCTTTATTAGTAATTTTGTTGACCTGGTTTACTTTTCTGGTTTGAAGTCTTTTTTAACATCACATTTGCTTTATCAAATATTTCTTTAGCTAAAATTCTACTTTTTTCAAAAAAATTAGGTTTGGTTTCAAAATCGAAGGGCCAAGTGGAGAAAAAGGGAACGTTATGGCCAAATTCAACAAGCTAAAAGCCATTTTGCTGCCACCTATGATATATCAGTTTTGCCAAGGACTGACAGCTACCCACAGGTATGGTAAACTACACAGAATACTGATCAAGAAATGAGATGTGGTTTGTATAGTTTAAAAAAGGATTAGCATTGACTTTATTATATCTAATGCATTAATTAAGAATGAAAATTTAACCTTCAGAAAACTTTTTTCATGTTTGCCAAATTTTCATTTTAATAAATTATTATTTTTTCTATTTTTTTAGACATTAATTTAAAAATATTTCAGTCTTTTCCTTTTGAATTTTGTTGCACATTGCACCAAATGAAATTATATCATTTAATGATGCAAGTCTTTTAATTATTCTACATTCTAATTATTCAGACTCTTTCTTTGTTAACTTTTAAAAAATAGTGTATATAGAGTGTTACTTGGCATAAAATCTCTGTGGCTGTTGTTTTATGAATTATACTAAAACCTGGTGCCAAATGTGGCCTACTAAGCCCTTAGTTTCATTTAAAAACATCTTTTTTTTCTATGTTATTTTTTCAGATTTGAAGTTGCTCGCAGTTTCAAGGATACATTTGGTTTCTTTATGACTTGAAACAGAGATAGATTTCATACTAGACATAATTTTAAAATTTATTCATGTCTAAAAAACACTTCCCTTTATAATGGGAGCTCCCTTACCTCAATTCAAAAAGTATAAAATAATTTTTTCTTCTCATTTTTCTTTTGTAAATGAGGATTTATTTTTTATTTTTTATTCTTAATGTATATAAATAGGATATTTTGTCTTTCTAATTTATTTTATATGACTTTTTCCTAATTCTTGATTATGATATTCAGGATTGTATTTGATACGTGATAAAGAACACAAGTATTATAAGGAACAAGCCAAGAGTTATTTTGTTCTTTATTATTTGATAATATGCATTGTGAGAGAACACTATGAAAACACATATAAAATATGTATGCTGGAGAAATATCTTGATAGTTCAGTAACTAGATCATCTCAGCCCCAAATGTAAGGATGCTCATTTTCTTCAACTGTAAATTTATACCCTGGGGGTGCAAAATTAGTCCTTTTAATGTTGTTCTTCTCTTATCTTCTTGTATCTTTTATGATCTTTAAAGAAATCCATTTTGAGAACTTCTCTCCTTCAGATCAATCTACCAAATTTACAAATGTTATAATATATGTTAAAAAAAAAAAAGGTTTAACGATCACCTTGTTCAACTCTCTTATTTTAAAACTTATGAAAATAGACTTGATCAAGTAAAGATATGGGTCTATGATTGTACAAGGGTTTCCTCACAGGGCAATCTACAAAGGTTTGCTCCTGCGAAGCCTTTCCCCAGTCCAGCAATTTGCTAGAAGACAGACGTTATGGGTAAATTTTGAATAAATATCCGATATCTGCCTTTCACAGAAAGAATCATGTTTTCCTTTTAAAATATATCTTAAAGGAATTGCCTTATGTTTTATACTATTTGAAAGCATGAATATACTTCATGTTGCTTATCAATGGGCTAGTGAAATTTTATTCACCAAATATTTTTGAGTGCCTCAGTTGAGTTCTAAACAAATGTCATGTTTTCTCTTTAGGCTACAGGTTTCATGAGAACAGGGGCTGTCTTGGTAGTTGCTGTGACTTACTATATGTCCAGGCACTGTTTTAAACAGATTACACATATTATCTCACTTAATCCCTACAATAGTTGTATGTAGTAGGTGTTATTATCCTCATTCTCAGATGAGGAAACTGAGGTACAGAGAGATGAAGCCCTGTTGACCAGAGACAAATTGGCTAGCATGTACAAGATCTTAACCATAGACTATTTCCCCCAGTGAATATATTTAAATGATTGAATGACTAATACCTTGATACCAAAGGAATATAAGGCTTGAGGTGCATTTTTCAAGTCTGCAGTTCAGTTCAAGGGAGGAGAAAATGTACCCACAACCATTGAAATAACTATAAAACACAATTGAGATGGAATATACTTTATGTCGTTTTGAACTACTTGAGTGCATTGAATTTGGAAATAATAAAGTAACAAATTATGAACCTTTTCAATTGCTTTAAACAGTCTTTAAATTTATTCCACAATACTCTACTATGACATATCATTTTTTTAGTGTGTGTCTTATTCTTTCAGTGTTCATTCATTTCCTTTTAAACTCAATTTCTGTCTATTTTCCACTTCTCTGTCCCTGGCTTTTGGCTGCTTTATCTTTGACTTGTATTTTTTGTTCAGTATAGGATACAGTATTCAGAATAGGTTCTGGCACCTATTAAGATCTACATAAAAGCTTAATATGACTGACTATATTCTGACTAGTGATCCCCCCCACTTTTTAAAAGGGTTATCTTACCATTGTGTTATTATACCTCAAAGCTTTAGATATTATCCATTAACAGAATGAAGTAACCTTGGCGTGAAAGAAAAAACGGAAGTGGCACATTAAATTATAGAACTGATAGGGTTTTTTTTTTCACTCCAACCAAAGATTAATTTTAAAATTTAAAATGTCCCTCCCACAAATCATGGGGATGCATTAATTCTTCTTTATAATTTGTGTACATAGAGTATATAGAGTATACTATAGTATATAGTGTACATAGAGTATATAGAGTGTTGTGCCACTTCACAATTTAAGAATGGGAACACAGAGAAGATATGTTAACATTATTTGACAGTGCAATTCATGAATAATAATAAAAATTAATACTATAAAATCTATTGTTATTTTTCTTCATTGGTAAGTCATTTAGTGTTTGGATGCCACAGATTCTGAAATCAAGTGCCTTCATTTTCCCACTATAGATAAAACAAGGGGAACATTACATTTTAACTTAAAAATATGTAATAGTTTTTTTTTTCAGTTTGCTTGAAGAAATAACATGGCAAGACCTTGTTTTTCAAAGTTTAGCCTAAAGGAAATATTTTTAATCATGTGTCTTTAAAACAGAAACTTACAATGGAAGGAATAACAGAAATAGAATCCAATGACTCAGTGCAAAAAGACATTGAATTTGGTTACTGTTACTAATTACAGAAAAAATTACTAATTACAGAAAAGTTGGAAACCAGAAAATGTTGGAGGCAGGACAGAAATAAAGAATTAACAATCTGGCAGGAAAGAAAAAGATACACAGAAATACTTGAGAAACAGAGATAGTTTAGAAAATGATCACCTAAAACCTGCTAAGTGTATATAATAACCAAACCAAGCATAAAGGTAGTTATATATAACATATGTTTACTTCTGAAAATAACTAATGCTCTCTAAAATACTCTAAAAATATTTTACTTCCACTGGTCTTCATTGTACTATAATAACAACAGCTGTAACAGTAAAAATAATAATGAATATTTGGGGCATATATGAAGCCAGGCAATGTGCTTCCTTCTTACAGACATTAACTCATTTAATTTGAGCTCAGGTTTTCTGAGTTCAGGAGTTCAGAGCTGTTTATGCAACATTACCTCTAATTAAACACTGAGCCCTGAAATAATCTAATCTTGACCCTAAAACATCACAGCACTTTGGAAATCAAAAAGGCTTCCATTTTAAAATTTATAAAATAATAACAAAACATTAAATAAGCATCAATACCTCATAGACTGCTTTAAGATTGTTTTTAAAGCGTTCTCATCTTTGATAGCAAAACCAACCAATCCAATAAGAAAGTGAGAGATATGATGTCCATAGTAACATACGTCAAGGTAGCATATTTTGATACACTGGCAATAGTATCTTTTTTTTTTAAGTGCTTTGTTTTGACTCGTGATATCAGCTGCTATTTGCAGCAATATAATTTAGCTAAATTAAACTATTTGTTGTTCCTCAAGACGAGACATTTTCAAAAATAATCTTACTGCTTGTAGTGAATCTGTTTTATCTATCTTGAATTCCCCTCCACTCATCTAAACCACATTTCCTCCACAAACCCTCTGGAAACTGCCCTCAATCAGCATATCACATTCTCACTGATATTGTGATGGGCTGTCTAAAAGGTCTGTCTTCCCATTTACATTGTAAAATATTTTAAAAGATGATTCAGTTTTTAGTCACATAAGTATCAAAAAAGGTATTTTGTTATGTGCTAAGCAAATTGCATATACAGAATAGATGTGAATAAAAGTAATGATTCACTTCAATATTTATTCAGTAGTACATTAGAAAACAAAAATTAAATAAATCTCTGTTTTTAACCAGCTCTGTGGTCTTTAGCAATTAACTTTTCCTCAATTTCCTCCTCTGTTAAAAAGAATAAATGGAAAGAGAGTTTGCAGTCTTTTCCAGCTTAATTTGTTTTTGCCAAAGTTATTTGCTTTTCATCAACAAATATGTTCTACATACTGTTTTAGGCATCCAGGATATCTGAATAATCTAGACAACTCTCCTGCTTTTTAGACAGATTACAAATTAAGTGATATTTGCACTGAATTCTGCAAACAGTTCTTGGTGCAAGCTAGACCCAACAAACCAAAGAAATCTAAATAATTTTGGCCTTGAATTTAAAAAACCAAGCAAAGATTTATTCATATGAGATACTAACTTGCTTCTAACTTAGCAAAACCAGAGTGTTTTGCAAAAATATTATTTTAATAAATAGAATATATTCTATTAAGGTATAATATGTTCTGAGGGATTATAGCCAGCCTTTAAGGAACGTTATTTTCACATAGGTTTGGTTTGGGTTACATGAGCATTAATTTCATTATTCACTAGATAGATAACTTTGGGTAAGTCTTTGACTTCCTTAGTCTTCAGATTCTTTATTTGTAAAATGGAGGTATTGTTGGTACTCATGTTGGTGGTGTTAATAATATAGATGATGATGATAATGATGATTTTTATGTTGTTATAAGGATTACATTGATTTCCAAATAAGAAAGCACGGTGCTTATAGACTACGGAACTGAATCCTGGAATTTGAGCAGGGTCAGAGGTTAACTATGACTGTGGTCTTTGTCAGAGAGTTGTGGGTCCAAATTTTGACTTGTAGCTTTTAAACCTTTTGCAAATGAATGAATTTCAAGCAACATTTCTCCTCATTTATAAA